CGAGGAAGTATATTCTTGGAAATATTCAAAGCGTTCTCCAAACCAGACAGACCTTCTACCAAACAAGATTCACATTCAATAGATAAACAAACTATAAAACAACACAAACTCGTCGCATCGATTTCATGCAAAAATTAACGTTCAATTATTCCCAAAGACTGGTTGACAGATGCCGTAGTTATGACAACGTAAGGGGCTGGSGCTAAAGTAGTGAAAGGGCTGTTCTTAACATTAGTATTTCCAAGTGATAGTTCTGTCAGCACAATTAGCATGGTACATCGAATCTCGAGCACTTTCCCACCTATTTCCGATTGGAATTTAGCAGTCTCGATAAGGCTAGCCATTACCGTAGTCAAAGACTCGCTCTTTGATTGGCATCTCGCTAATGTCTGTCAATTGTGTCAGGCCAGTTTTCTCCCCGTTAGGAGGGGCCTGGGGTATTTTTTTTTTGACACTTAGGAACTTCAATCTTTTGTTCTTGCTGAACCCCTATATAACTATTTTAGACCAAGTTGTTCTATTTTTAATCCCTATGTTCAAAACAATCTCTTGCTTTTATTGTTCTTTTTACTAAGCCGATTGTACTATGTCTACAACTGTTTTTGTCGTGATACGTCCAATAAATCTTTCTAATGTTTCTTGCTTGTCCATATCAGCTTATAAAAATGCTTCTCAAGTACTAGAATACGATTAAAACCTTACAAACTGGGTCAGATATTGGCCCTTTTATTCTTAAATCACATATCTTACTTACCCGTCTATTGCTGTCCACTCCAACTGCCTACCCAGTAATTAAGGTCTACCAACACAATCTACTAGTCTTTTTGTGCCTTTAATGCAATAATTCTCTCTTTACAACTAAGGCGATATAAGGCGATAGGCCCTCAAACCTCGTAAAAGGGGACAAAGCTCCTAAAGTAAGGTTTCAGTATTGGCTTCAAATACATCATCCGTTTGAACTATTCAACAAATCAGTCTATTCGATTTGAACCCTTGATATTCTCTTACACCAGATTAACTACAGATCACACAGTGTAATTTGTCCAAATATTCTTCACCACATTTGTGAATTTTCTCGCTTTCTGATTGGTCTAGAGCCGGGGGGACAGAAGGACATTCCAATAAATTACGTCAGCAAATTACGCGCTCGCTTGAAACCCTTTTAATTTCAAATTTTACCCTTGTTTTCGTAGTACTATTGTTAATTTTCTGTGGTATACAAATACAATTTCCTCCAGTTTTCCGTGGTATGTCTTCTCATTTACCACGATTTTCGTCATCTAGACGTCAAAATATGTTGTGGATTCGGATACGCCTCGTGAGTCCACAACATTTTGACGGCTAGATAACGAAAATCGAGGAAATTGGTTAAATGTCGTTTATTATCGCACTATAAAAACACAGTTTCGTGGCTTTAAAAACTAAATAGAGAGTACCTTTTTGTTATCAATTCTCAGGGACAAAGCCGTTAGACGTGCAAATGAGTTCAGTATGATATGATCTTCGAACAATCACGTTTTCTCTTGAAATACCTTGCAACCAAAAATATTTTTTGCTTGACTCACTCGGGTGAATTGCGTAAGATTTTCCCATTCAATCTTTCTTTGAAAATAAATACTAAACTGACGGATAAGTGAACAAGAAAGTTCTTAAAAACTAAATAATGTCTAARGTATCGTAAATAAAAACGTCTTGAAATACTAAAGTATCGCAAATCAGAAAATAAATAATAAACCTAAAAATCATTGGTCACTTCACGGATTCAGAAAAAAAAATTGTGGCTACTTTCCAACCATCGAAGAAACTAAACCAGACTTAGAAAAAGATATCCACGCATATTTTGAAAAGGATTTTGGTGATCAAAATCAATCGGTAACCGTACGACTTTCGTAAAACGCTGAGGTGAATCTTTTCATTACTAGCCTCCCTGATATGTAACAATGTTCAATAGATAAAATTATTTCCGTAAACAAACGTTTTGTTTTTTTTGTTTACTTGGATTTCAATGTCRGGTATAATTTGCTTGTCTCGTGTGAGACTTATATTAACTGAGTTTTGTGTCATTTGGATAATATAGCTCATTCATTTATTTCTTCCGCACATCCTACTGACGGATTTTTTACGTTCCCGAAGACAAAAATTGAGTAAAGTATTTCATCGGGTTTCTTGGCTACAACAGTCTGAGATAAAACGCGTAGGTTTAGCCTGTAAACCTGTTGTTTCGTTTTTGTTTGTTTGTTTTTGAATTTTTTTGATTGTTTGTTGTGTTGTTATTGGTTTTTGTTTTTGTTTTGACTACTTTAAGAGTCTCATGATAGGAGCTTCCCATTGCAAACAGCCCAGACTTCAAAGGCTAAAATAGATCGTTAGCTAATGAGGTATGGTCCTACCCCTCATACTTTGTAGAAAAGTAAAAATATGTTAAGAGTTGCAGTGGCAGTGGCAGTGGTGATAGGTCTAGTAGTGGTGGTGGTGGTAGTAGTAGTAGTGGTAGTGGTATCACACATCTATTACGTACTTCTATCAGTTATTTTAATTCGAAGCTCAAAGTATGGAATAGACGCATTTCTGTGTAAGATATAATGAAGTCGCAAGACAAGGGTTAAATATTGGTGACTCCTGGGAGTATTTATCGCTTTCATTGTGGTCGCGTTGAAGTTGTGTAACCTAAGATCGGCAATACCTCGCTTTGCGCCGAAATTTTGTCGAAGTATTCCATTTACCTTCCGATTACCTACTAGTGCGACACTGTTTTGATGCAAGTGAAATAAGATTATACAAACCTTTTGGATTACGCTTTCTCTTTATGCTAGAATTCGTTGTAGTTGAACTCGCAAAATGGCTGCGGCAGAAGCTCACAGCTGACGCATGATTTGAGTAATTTATCTTGAAAACAACGGTGATTATAGATTTTACAAGATGACCCTATAAAAACAGCTAGAGCCAAACAAAAGAAAAAACTTCAACAGCGCAAAGCATGTGGAAGAAAATAGACCCCACTCCTAGCTAAGACAAAACAATTAATCTTAAGATTATTTTAGTTCAGGTTTACACGTCAAGGTCACTAAGTCCTCATCATTTCTGACGGTCGTTTTGGAAACGATCTCGCATAAAGTGATTGAATAAAAGAGGGCGACTCGCACATGCTGTTTCCCCCCATGGCGGGTAATAGTACTAGGCCACGCCTTTCCGTAGACGACGTAAACATAGAGCGGATCTTTCCTACTGGTAAACAAATGTATATCAATATAKAGAGAGAGAGAGGGAGGGATGAATTAGCTATAGCGTAGATGTATCAATCACATAATGAATATAACTTCATCAGAAGCGGATTTCATGGAAGTCGGGAGGGAAATGGCGCGGTGGGATGCATCATGAAATGACCTCAGTATTCGCACGTCAGAATTATATCATCATCATTTTTACCTTTAAAACTAGAAAACAATACATAGTGGAGTATTTGTTGGGCAGTATGAGAAAGTTTATAGCGGAGAGTTTATAAGTATAACGTTTCTCACTAGCAAAGCGACTGAACGTCAGTTGACAAATGAAAAATTCTTTACATGATTGAGAAGAAATTGCAAAAATCTCCAAGTCGTAGATAAATAAAAGAATATTTGTCTTTGGCGAGAAGGTGAGGTGAAATACAGGGAACGATGAAAACGTAGTCATGTATGCTGTTTTCGAGAAGTAGACGTTATACTGGATGTCTAATTTAGACAGTTTTCCGTGACATGGGAAGTGCAATGAGCTACGGGTGGTTGTCCTAAATRGACAGACAATTCCAGCTCATGCTGTATGATATGAACTTTCAAATGGCTTTCCATTCCTTTTATCTAGGCTTCTGATCGCTTCTCAGCAAGTACCGGTATACAAACTGTCAGAAAGAAAGTCCCTCGCTTTGCACTCTTATGCCCCCTCCCTATTAGAGCATCTCCTTTTCAACTAAGATGGAAACAAACAAAAGAAAAGGAACATTCAAGTATCTGTCTACCTTGGAGTTGGAGCCGTTTATATGAGAGTAGGGTGATCCTAGCTATAGGGAATAGCCCTGAGAATTAAGTTCACCTGACCACACTCCACTTTCATATAACCAGGACAGGTAAAAATGCAAACATGGATGGGCCCTTTTGAGGAAAATATTTAAATTTTAAATTTCGAGACATAATAGAGTTTTGATGGACGCCAATCAAAGTGTTTACCAGCATTGTCGGAAAACAAAAAGTTTTTAACGGCACGTGCCTCTGGAATTTCATGGAAACGCATTGATTGACGTCCACCAAAACGTACTTCGTCCCTATGGCAAATTGTACGATTGTAGATTGAGAAGCGCTGTATAAATATGATGCACTAGGATGATGTGCACTCACGTTTTGAATACCGACAAACAGGSCTAGAGATCCTTAAATCATCCTCAGAGAACCAGGCCTAGGGGAAGTGGATGGGCAATGAAAAGGACAGTCACTTTCTAAATAAAGAAAGATTTTTATTTTTCACTTTTATCAAGGTTATACAAGATGCATGATTTAACTATTCAATAGAACAATTTAAAGAAAGAAAAAATAAAATACTATATGAATAACAAAAAATTGACAGCTTGAAGATCAATCATTTTATAATTAATCAGTCATTGACTCATAATATGCTTGAAGTGTCTTGAATATGACTACGCTAAGAATSTAAGGATAACTGTTTTTAAGTAAAAAAGTAACCTTCTTTATAATTATCCACAAATACCATAAAATCAAATGTTGATTTTATACCATTACAGGTAACTTAGTAAAGTTGTTAACCTTGTAAATTATTTTTAAGCTAAAAAAATTTAGGATTCCCCTAAAATTTATAAATACTTTGAATGGTTATTTATGTGTGAATCATGAGAAAAGGCTGGTATTTTGATGATTAGCCACAGTTTCGTTCAGGGTCTGTCCTTCACATGCAATTGACCTTGCCGAAAATTAACCATGTCTTCAATAAGGAAATAAATGTTACATCTTATGTAGTACAAAGCTGAAAATATTGCTCTTTAATACCATGTGGAATGAATTTAACAAAAGAGTTTTATTGTATTTTTATATACAAGCCAACATGGTAGCATGTCTTTTGTTATTTCATTATAGTTTTGGGTAGATTCAAGCCATGCAAAGTTGCACCAAAGAGCAGAAATGTTCCAAGTAGCAGTGCAATATTTCAAGAATATTTCAAGTTCAATATTTCAAGTTCAATATTTCAAATGTAAACAAACAAACATCAAGGTATTTCTCCTAAAGTAAGACTATCAACTTGTTAAGCGTTAAGTGTTTCACACTATATATTAGTGTCGGAATCAGAAGCAGTATTCCATGTATTACCTAGGTGTGAAAAAAGAAAAGCACTGTCAATGAGCAGTAAACTACCCAGTAAACTACCTAGTGTGTATATCTTGTTTCAGACTCTGATCACGACACTAGTGTGAACCACTACTTTATGTATAAGTAACTTTAAGGGTACATGCAAGAAGAATAAAAATATGACTGCAGTGTGTGTATGTGGACATATATGTAGTTACAGCCACTGTTATCTAGATCAACCACTATCTTTTTATCCTACTCTCCACCAAGCTTTGCTGCATTTAGTTAGGAATATTTACAAGCAATGTCACCAGAGACAGCAGAATGGATATACAAATAATAGACTGTCACAAGTCATTCTTGTGTGGAGCTTTGAAAAAGTTTCAAATCATTTTAAAGTTAAATGATGCAAGCTATAATTTTATAAAAGCATTCACGAATTTGTACTTTAAAAATGGTATTTAACATTTGCTTTCCCTTATACCTCTAAGTCCAGTGTATAATTCAAACTGGATTATCAATACAATTATTCTATGTGTTACAGTACTAAAGTTCTAATTTAATGATTATATCTTGTGTTGGTTAATATCTTGTGTCTAGCTTGGTCTTGCTCTCTTTGATTCTGGCTCAGTTGACTCAGGTTGAGATGATGGCACAGTAGGTACCATCAGATCACCAAGGTTAGCTTCATTTTCACCATCTGTAGAGAAAAAAACACATGCAAGTTTGTAAAGAACATCTTCTATAGTGAAGAGATTTTTTGCAAAGTAAAACTTCACTTCGTTTTGTTTGTACAAGGTTTTAAAGTGGCTTTGAATGGAAAGGAGCACCAATAACAATGTCATTCCAGCCACACCAAAGGCAATTACCAAAGCTGGTTAGACTTCATCAACCATGAACTCCAACACGAATCTAGTCTAGTCATAGCAAGCACATCAACCAGCTGAGAAAACTAAGTTGCAWTTACTTCCTTGTTCAACTTATCCAATATGGTCCCTCTAAAGGGCCCACTTGTACAAAGGGTGTCTGGGCCCAGTTGTACAAAGGATGAGTAGTGCTAACCCTTGGATAACTCCTTATCCAGTAGATAAGTCAATGCTGTTATCCAATAMATTTTTTCACTGGATAACATTTTTCTGTCRAATAGCACTTTGTACAACAAGGCCCATCATCTAAAGAATCTTGTGAGAGGTTAAAGGTGTCGTTTAATCACTGCGCAAAGAATAAAAGGCCTCATATCTTTCTAAACATGTGATATCATACTGGCTTGTATTTCTTTTATCATTTATGATAATTCACAGTAAAAATTTCATTAAYATCAAAATCATTACTTACTTTGGTTGCCTAGAAGACTATTTTCTACAGCATCTAACCCCATTGCCAGAGCAGAACCAAGGCCAACATACTGGAAAACAATGCAAATGATCCATATCATGAGAATGGTGTTATATAAGAATCGTGGCACTTTCTACAGACTACAGTTTTGGAAGAGGTACATGATCAACAATAAAAATATAGAATATGACCACCAATTCTAACTTAGAACATCATTTATGAAATAATTTAGATATGATGTGTGCCTGTGTTTGATGTARCATATCAAAACATTTTCCACTTCGCACTGTGATTTCCTACTCTTCTCTCATGTTCTGTTTGTTCAGAGTTACTATCAAACATGGAAAACTCATATTCATTCATTCAAAGACAAAATTGTTTGTCAAAATGTCCTACATTTCRGTAGTAAATGGTGATTAACAAAAACGAAAGCCAAAAACTCAGAAATGTATAAAATTCGCCCATGAGTTCTAAGTTATGTGATGATCAAAATGGGAACTAGACGCATATCTGTGTGAACTCAGGCTTCATAGCAGAAAATCGAGAGAATTCTTCGTGTACACTTTCATCCTTCTGATGAAACCTTGAAAAATTCTGCCATTGCTCGACCATGTGCTTATGTGGCGCATACAACGCATGCGCATAGAACTTGTGCATGCGCTTTGAACGCAACTGCGATTTGTGACAGAACGTAAATAAAGCCCAATTTATACTTCAGGCATTTCTTTGAAAGCCCAAGTAATAAAATGTGAYAAATACGACATACCTCTCCCATGACGGAGATAGGAGAAGCACCAATAGCCTTGGAGACCTTATGTTCCACCAAGTAGAACATGTACTCATCATACAACAAGCGGATCAAGTGGAAGGAACCAAAGCTGGCAGCACTACGAAGGGTCAGGTCACGGATAATCATTGAACTACAGGAAGATTGATAAGAATGTCATCACTTCAGATAAGATTTTTATGAAACTAAAGGTAGTTTAGAAGCACTGTGTGAATGTTATGCCAGACATGGGAATGTAACTGTACCTGTAGAAGGACCACTTGAGAAGGAATTGTTTGGCTGCCTTAGGGTATCCATCACTGCCTTCTTGAGGCTTAAGGAACTGATCAACAACACCTTCTAACCATGTTGCCCACTGTTCAAGGGAGTTCTAAATAAAATTAATACAATACAAGTTCATTCAATATTTTTATAGGGAAAAGACTTTGAATGTGATGCATAGGATGACTGCTGGCAATGGGTCTACAGTCAAGGATTACAGTGGTATTATACAAAGTACATTAATTTATAAAGGTCATATATGGTACCTGTTGCTGTAGGGTAAGCTTAAAGTCCTGTTCAATCCTGTAAACCAAGTGGTCATCGCACTGACAAACCCATGCTGCTTGTTCCTGTATACAACAGACTTACATTAGCACATGCTAGTGATCTGCCAAAGGAATAACTATACACCTAGGATAGGTTTCATGGTTAATGGTCCAGTCAATCTCACCTGTACATTGGCAAAGTCAACCCTGTTGAGATCACTAAGCATCTGGTTGATCTGGGATGGGTTCTGTAGCACAGCACGAGCTGCCTGGGCCAAATGGTTCAAGGACGTGTATCTGCGCAGTGTTTGGGCAAAGGCACAGCAAGTTGAGACCTACACAAACATTAATATATAATCTTAATAGGTTGACACCAATAGCATCTACAATGTAGTACAATTACAGCTTGAACTCAAGTTTGGTGTTGATTTTCAAACAGAAAAGAAAACTAGAGAAACTCTCAAACTTGCAGGAGAGAACCAGCAAACAACTGTGCACTCTGATGGAACTGTAAAAACCAAACCCATGGCCACAGAGGTGAGTAGCAACCCACACCCACCTAGCTCTCATCTACTGTTTTGAATTGGAGAAACTTATACAACGTAGTATCACCCAACAAGTTATTAGTGAGATCTTTTATCTGTGCACTCTTGTATATTGTACCTCAGTCACCATGTACTACTCACCTTGACAGTGCCCATTTTCTTTGGCACATGGTTAAGAGAACCCACTACCCATCCTTCTAGTCGTTTGGCAAAATTTCGAATAGCTTGAGTGAGGGAAGCTAAAAGAAAAATAATTCCAGAAATATTAAAGAATATTGAAACATTTAACAAAGTACTACATCTGTGTTGGGATATCACATTTATTGCAGTATGATAGCAGGGCTTAAAATAATGACCAGATATCGGCCAGTGGCATGCCAAAACTGGGACTTGTCTGGTGAAATCTTTCCCTTGCCGGTCATTTTGACCAGTAACATTGAGCCAGAAATGAGGTATGACTAAGCTAAAACTAATTTGGCCTGTGATTATGGCGACTGATCGGTTGTTATTTTAAGTCCAGTGATGGCATCTTAAACATGTTCTTACAGTGTTTTGGTCTTCAACAACAGGTACTTACATGGTATGGGTCTGAGCACTTCAGGTATTAGTATCTCTACCAGTGTTTGGTAAAGAAGATGATCACAGCTCTTGACGTAAGCAATTACTGGCTCATATTCACATAAAATCATCAATTTGCTCTTGGGAAGCCTCTTCTCATTATCTTCATCATCACTGAAGAAGAAAGAAGAGTTGAAAGAGGGTTAAACATGTCTTCCTAAACAGCAAAAGTGATTCAATGGAATTACAACTATTGTCTCCCTTTAGGGGTGGGAGTTGGCTAAAGCCATGCACCCCAAGCCTTCCATAGTTCCTAACCTGAGACGGGAATATCATTTTGATCATAATTTTTTATGCCAAGATTAATACCTATCTATCAAAAGTGTTACTACAAGGGCAGAAAAATAGCTGTCACACAATTAAAATAACTCCTGGAACAAATCAGGTTGCTCTATTTTGTTCTGTACTAGTATAATAATTATGTAAGAATAGGTAAGCTATATGTCTTACCCAAGTTCTCTTATTTGTGGTGATGTTGACAGCACTTGTCCTCCTTCTTCCTCTGTTTTCTTCTCTCCTGACTCACTAGTATGCCTCCAGAAGCTCTGCCACAGGGACTCCACTACTGCAAATTGCAGATTCACTACAACATCTAAGAAAGCCTACAAGACAATGAAAAAACAAGCTCATTAGTTAAAAGGTTAGTAATGCAAGATACAGTGGAACATCTATAATATGGACACTGAAGGGCAAGGAAAAAAGTGTCATTAATGTAGAGGTAGGGTCTATGAAACAAAGAATGTATTGTGATTTTGTCGGGATCTATATATCCTAATAATATAGAAGTGTTCATAATATAGAAGTATCTGTAAGGAGGGATTCTAATGTAACAGAATTTTCACCCTTCAGACCATTAACAAGTATGCTTCATGGCTAGGCTGGGTTGTTCAAAGCTGGATAAGCGCTAATCCAGGATTAACTCTATAGGTCTTATTAAGAGTTAACCCAGGATTAGCACTAATCGGGCTTTAAACTACTGGGCCCTGATGATTAAAATGGTCCATTAACAGGCAATATAATTATCAGCCAGCAAGACCATGAGAAAACTGTACAAATAAAGTATAGTGTTGACAAGAATAATAAAAATCATGTACCTCACAATGCTCTCTGTACATGTCTTGAAAGGTATCTAGATCTTCTTCATGAATATTATCTAACAAACAAATGACACACAAGATTATTAAGGACCATACACTGAACACACCTCTATTCCACTTAAGCTACCATAAACTCTAACTAAGATGAAGTGTAACTTCAATTATTTTGTGAAATACATGAACATGCTTGAAAGGGTTTGTCAATAGGGGAATATATCTTACTATGTAAATTAGCCTTTATGTTATGAGAGATACTAGAATGATTGTAAGTAGACAACATGCTCTTTGAATAGTGGTGTATAAGTAAAGTTGTGTAGAATCATCATCTGATAGAAACCACCATCAGGTGGGCCAAGTTCAATGAAATATTCACCTCTCCGGGGCCATAGCAACTTTGAGGAAAGTGAGGTAGTTGCCTTGGTAAGATGTCACAAATGCCCCTCAAAACTCTGGAAATCGCATTTCAGAGGGTTTCAATTTCAACATTTTGCGAACCCCCTAGTTGCTCTTGCCTGCACTGCTTGTTTGCCTCAGTAAACATTTCAGTCTGGCTATGGCCCTGCTCTCTATGTTATTGTCATACCTGGAAGTGGAGCTCCTTTCGTGTCCAAATCTTCAAAGTCAGGTAAGCCTTGTGTCACATCACCAAGGTACTGCTGGTGTTGATGATGCTGACTCTGCTGAGCTGGATCTACAGAACCACCAGCTGATGAAGAATATCCATCAGGTCCCTCTGAACCATCTAATCTGGCAGGCTTAAGCCTATTAACAGAAACAATCACAACACAAATATAAACAATAATTAGACCTGATGTAGTTTAGTAAAGTGTGCTTGGTCAATATTCTATTAGGAAGAGAGGTCTAATTGTTTCATAACAAAGACAGTGGGAGATTTAAAGAAGATAAAAAAAATCTTTGGATTCCTCTAAAAGCTTGACAATATTTTCTTTTTGTAGATAGGATTTTTCTGTTGTTATACTGACTGACTTACAACAATCATTGTAGTAAAACTCTTCACAATAATGTACAATGTTGTCATGGTGTTATTCATGCTAATACTTTATGTTTCAATACCTTTTCTGGGTAGATGGAGATTGTCGCAGTGCAACTTGAGAGTCATCTGCCAGTGCATTGAGAGGTGAGTTGGGCTTGATACGGATGCCATAATAATGGTATTTAGAATTGCCCCTGAAAGTGCATTCAAATATAGTAATAAATTAATAAGCATATCCTCATAATTGACTAGTGTCTATAGAAAAAAAGACATTCTAAAGAATTCATCTACCTGGGTTTCATATTGACTACAATCTTTACTATGATGTATAACTATAAAATGTCTTCAATAACTAAACTTTATAACTTATTCCTAAAAGGGACTTTTACATTTGTTCCATTTAATTTAGCTGCAAGGAAATACGATAGTAAATATTTATAAGTAACATTCTATATCTACCTTGTTCCAAGTCTTCTTGTTCTCAGCCCAAGGAACACTGAACGTATCAACTTGCCAAAGCTTGCAGCATTGACTGGGTCCAGTTTGTGTGTCTGGCAGTGAGTCAAATAGTGATTGTACAAGGTACTGCGAGGTAAGCTAACTCCATCTGCTGTTTCATAGTTTTCAAGCAACCACTGAACCTATTAGATAAAAACAGTTTAAGACAACAGTGGGATAGATTTTGATGTTAAAAATCTACTTATACTACAAGAAGGCTAAAAATAAGGGCTGCTCATGGAAATGTCTGGCCAAAATTGTAACTTGTCCACTCAAATCTTTGCCTTGCCAGCCATTTAGACCAGTGACGTTGAGCCAGAAATAAGGTATGACTGAGCTAACACTAATTTGGCAGGTGTTTATGACCAACAATTGACCAGCCATTATTTTTAACCCTCTACAACTAACTGTATATGTAGTTGAACTACACTTACAGTAGCTGGCGAAGCTCTGGTAGTATGTGCTATAGGATGGCGAGCAATACTCTGTGCCTGCTGACCAGCTACCTGTGCATATGTCGCTGGCGCAGCGTTAGCAGCCGTCACAACTGTTGGTGTTACTGCTGAGTGAACTGCAGAAAAGGTTTGCGCCTGCTGAGGTTGTGCTGCTGCATCCATGTAAGCTGTTGCCGAGGCCTGCTGAGTGAACATTGTGTTGTCATTGTAGTGGAAGGCGTTACTCCTAAAGAAAAGACAAAACAATAAAAAGGTTAGAATTTGACTTCTTTATATAAATATACATTGGGAACATTTTTGAGATGAAACTTTCTTTTTCTTACACACTTATCGTTAGCCTAATTTAGCCTAAAATACCATATTTATCTTCTGGTCAAGCTCTCAAACCAGTTCTGTAAGTAGACTTGCCAAAGACTTAGGGTTGCTTTTACACAAGTCATAAAAATAAATTTTCAAAAGTCATAACAAAAAATATAATAAACTTGATAATATTGTTAGTCTGAACCAGAATATGCTTTACTTTTATTCTAGAAGCCTTATACATAAAACTACATATTAGCCAGATTAATGTAGCCAATCGAAGTGAAAAGTAGAATTGCCTATTCCTATATTATCTGTACGACTTTGTACTCCTATCTTATTGGTAACCTCTATCAGCATTTTACACGTATAAGTATTATTCATAGAGGTTCCCCTAAGCAACATAGAATATTTACATCCAAATCTAATTTTTGACACTGTATAAACCTACTGTGCACAACAAACCAGTAATGCTTTGTAACTGAGATCCATAGTAGTGGTATAGGTAGGTTGAATGTTGTTTGTTTGTTCACAAGATGCACAACTGATATACAGATGCACAAGATGCACAACTAATATACATATTGAGCTCTTAATAACTGCCTCAGGATATACATTGAAAAAGAAATGAAACCGGCGACAGAGCAGACAGAGCTCCAAAACATAAATGAAAGCTAGAATTTGTTTGATTTTGAAAATCAACTTTCAGATTAATTCACAATACAAACCACTAGAATGATAATAACTGCTAATTAATTTATTCCAAACACCAAGAAAACAATACAAAATATTATGGTTAAACCTCTGTTTTTCCCCCCATTTTGGCCTTTGTAATTAAGACCTCATATACTTATGAATATTCAGAAATGTTTCCATGTAAAACTACTAGATATGTTAGTTGTTTGTCTAGTTGTTGAGGCTCAACAAGAGTCAAAATATTTGTGTACTTATTGGTGGTAATTTAGACAGAAAACAGGCTGATTTGGTATAGAATATACAAAAAAGTCAACTGTCTGCTAATATTCATTCAGCTAGTCACACTAATGTTTACAAGTTACAAACATGACGAAAGGCTGAATACCTTATCAAAATGGTAATATATCGTGCAGAATATCCACATGTACTAGTAGGTTTTTATATGCTATTCTGGAAAAAAAACTTCTGCAGTATAGGTAGTTTTATGAAATCTATTGTAATAATATCTCTGATTAAAGGACTTATGATTGATGTGGTTAGTTGGCACCTGGTCTTCTATTATGCTTATCATCATGCAAACTATATTATTTTAAGAGTATAAAGTTAACATCTGTTAAGATATTCAAAATGTTTAGTTTAATCCTCCTCATGTGCTTTAATCATTCAATAAACACATTCAAAGCCCTACACCATCTTTTTTTACTTAGCAAGACTTTGCTCTATAAATTGTTGGGTTTACCGTTCCAATTTTCTAATGAAATATCAACTTCATACGATTAATACTAAGAAGATTATTGAAATAAATAACACTTGTGAAAAAGCTGATATTTTTTATCGTAGAACACTATAAAAAATAATCATTGATGTCTGAATTCATAATGAAATTCCTTCTAAATATATGGCGAAAAGATCTTATTTGAAACCATGGTTCCTCACAAAAGAAGAAATGAGCTAAAATAAAACTTAACATTAAAATGTTGTGTTTATGTTCTGTGAAGTAAGATAAAGTTAAGATTGAAAACTTCTAAGGTCAAAATCAGAGATAAAGATACTAATATCTTTGGTCAGAATATATTACTGAAGGTTTCTAAAATAATTCTGATAAATCGTGATCAAAAACAACCTAAGATGACATAATGTTTAGGGTCCATATGAACAAGATCTTGGCTTCTAACAGACAGACAATAATACAAGAACATTTTCCTTGAAATCAGTTAGAAACCTGTGTTGAAAATGTGAACCTGTGTTCAAATAGATTATCAAACTTACATGAAGGTGGAAACAGGCATTGCACCAGTCTGAAATCACTCTCATGAACCAATGATGGTACAAATCCAGCACAGAATTCAGCTATATTTACTGTTATAAGTTTTGATCGCACGATGTTGAATACTAAGCTCGTATGGTTGGTTTCAGGTAGTATCTTTTCTCTATTCACCCATTCACAATAGATCTTGTTGTTACCATAGAGAAGCTAGGAGTCTCTTAGGAAAAATGTTTGAATCCAAGACTTTTAATTTCCAACTGAATAAATAAACAGCGGATCTGAATAGATTGAATAGATAATGAGATGCAGGAGTTTTGCCTACAGTAGAAGAAAACAATATCCAGGAGACTAGAAATTTCTATGGAGACATCAGAGGAAAGTATAAAACTTGTTGAAAAATATATAAAGATATCAAATTAGTTAACCACAGTGTCAAAAAACTGATATTTTTCTTCTGATCGACTTTTTTTATTTATTAAAAAATCATAAAAGATGAATCACTTTTGGTATATTCGATGTCATCATTGCGACGACTAGACGCTCGTGCAAAATCGAATACAAAGTGAAAGCAAAACAAGGCATGATTTTTAAAACAAAATGAGGATTACTAGAGTCTTTTATTTCACTTGTGAGTAAAATGTGTAGAGAATTTAAACGATCACGACTCGCATGTGTTTCTCTTTATTCAAAATCCATACAATAGCAGGTGGCAAAACGTGTCAATCATAACTACGAAACAAAACCGAAAGCCATTGGAGTGTAGACCGCGTTGTTCAGTCAGAAAAACGATGTCTGGGCAACAGACAAGGCCAATGATAAAAACCTTTATTATAAGCGATTTAGAATCCTTAACAAAGTATTCGAAAATTATTATTAAATCTACCAATTAAAGATCGAAATGTTGGTTGTACGTGATATCGATATACTCACCCTGCACCATTGGGGTAAAGTGCGTGTTCAGCTGTTGCTTCCACGTACTGAACATCTCCGGTACTAAAACCTGTGGAAAAAATCACCTAAGTCAAAAATTATAAACTCAGAACTCGAATGTTTGATAAAGATTAAAGACTCTAATGATTGTTCATGCATTATTTGACGCTAGGAGAGGAAAAGAGTGGTCAAAGGAAATGTTTGATCCGACCAAGATGGTGGTCATGAGTGAATGAATACCTTCTTTTGAAATGGCTGCGCTTGCTTGAAATTCTTCGGGAGATATAACGCTTGCTGCGATAATCTGAGCCGTTCCTGTCTGCTGCAGCGATTGATTTTGCTGTATTTGAGGGGCCTGAACCGCTAACGTTACAGTAGTTTGAGGTAAAGAAGGATGTTGAGCGACTGAATGCGAGATAGTCGAAGGAGTTACGACTATTCCATGCGGAAGACTCGTAGACGTGAATTCTGCTTGTGTAACATTACCAGAACTTCGCGCCGAGGATTGAACTTCTTTCTGTTCAAATCCCTGTTGCGTCACAAACGTCGGTTGGGCTGTTGCTGCCATGAGATGCTCTAGAAAACCCAAATAAATTCATTGGCATCGCACGTATTTTTAAAGAGAAACTTCGCTCGCTTGCGCCAAACGTTGCATTTCGTTTAAGCGCCATTTTAACGCAAAGTCCAACGACCCGCTTGACAAAGTAAGCGCAAGATATATACCATATTTCACATCAAAAACTAGATTAAACTATGCTCAGACTTTAACCTGAGAGACAATGAAAGTCTCGGGTAAAATGATAAAGTAAAACAACGTAAAATAAGGGACATTTTTAAAAGGTATTTCAGCACTGCACTCGACAAAGCAGCAAAATCGTTCAAGCCAACCCCGAATTCGAAGGGAATGGCATAAAACACTAAAGACATTTGTAACTTCTAACATATACACAAAACATAGAATGGTTCTTGATCAACCAACCAGTTACACAGCAAAACTGCTATGATCGAAGGAACTTCTGGGAAGGATCTGTAACCTTGACTACGGGTCGCCTTGGAGAGTTTTGGATCGTTCGTTGTGGTAACTACGGAAGAAGAACAACTTCGCAACGCTTTCCGCCGTTCAACTCCACTCTGTTATTTTCTGTAATCCAATATCTATCGGGGTGGACCGCATCATGCTACAGGGGCTCATTATAATAACAATACCAAAAAGGCGGACCTTTTGAATTCTTTGGGATAATTATAAAAATTTGCATTCATTTGAATAATAATCAGCCTTTTTACCATGTGGTCGAATAGTTTTGCTTTCATAAAGATAAGATTAGATAAGATTATAATGAAAAACAGTTTTCGTATAAGGAATGACGATGAAAACAAACCAATGTTTAGTAAACAAGAATTAGAACATTTTGTCTCTTTGTTTAGATTTTTATCATGTCGCAGATCCATAAAATTATATAAGAGCCTTGAGTTCACGGATGAAGACATCTTCACAATCTAATATAATAGCAAAGGTTTTATTAGACGCTCAACTCGACATTAAGACTATTTATTCAAGGAATATAAAACGTGCGCGCATGTCTCTGTAGTCTCTGTACTGTGATATACACAGGCTGGGGCAGTAGTGCACGATATAGCCAAGCTTAGGAACACGGGGAGACTTTGCCAAATGCTTCTCTTTGTATGACTGCTTTACAGCTCCCAGAGTACTAGTCTTTATATCACAATACAGCGAAATAAGCATGCGTTTTATATTGCTTTTATAAAACATTTTTGAACGATTTTACACTAGCGAGTGTATGTCCTCTGGTCTAAACACGGTAGCCCAACCAATCAGAGCGCGCGTTATATCTCGAATATTTTGTAAATTATAGTACATCAACAGCTATTGTTATCGAAAAAGATGAAAGTTCATGATTAGAGAAAAGGATTTTAAGTTAAATTTTGTGGAGTAAAATAATAGCATAATTCCGCAGACGTTCTAAAAAATATTCTGCCACAATATTTATTATAATCTATTAATATTCTTCTGTCTGCAAGTTGATTTAGAAGGCTCAGAATATTAATTTTAGTATGAGTATGAAGATACAGAAGGGGTCAGCAGCAGTAAGGGGGACTCGCGATCGATGCCAAAGATATACGGGTTTAACTCGCGGATTTACGAAGACGGGTACAGCAGATTTATCGCAAACGGAGGTTAAAATATTCCTTAGATATACATGGCCACCATCAACGACATTCAAAACAAAACTGTGCGCAGGCTCGGAAATCAGGTGATGGATAACTCAGACGCTGACTTTGTCTTCGCTACGTTTATGGAGGGAAAGACAGACAAAACTATGAATC